ATCAGATCGAGTTCGGTTCCACCAGCAAAATGATGACCACTTTTATCCGAAAAAAAAAATGAATGAGAGAGCGAGAGAATTCAAGCAGAAAAAAAAGAAGAATGTCAGCAGCGGATAGTGAATAAATAAAATATTTTCGTGATTTAATGCCAAGATCGTGGAGACAAGTGATTTGATGACAAATCGCCGCACGATATTATTTGACCGAAGAAAAAAAAAACTACTAAATGAGCCCACAACCTGCACCATGACACAATATGAATGGAGCAAAGCAAAATCCAATGTGGACCATAATCGATTTCAGTTGTGTGTGCGCGCACGAGTTTATTAATGCTTTTCGGTATACAAGGTAAAAATTCACCGTTTGAACACCGGACACTGGTTTTGATCAATTCAAATTGAATTAATTGTGCATTTATCATCGATTTTTTTTTTTCATTTGTCTTTCGTTTGCATTTATCTCTCTAAATGCAAGCTTTGGCTAACCTTTTGGTTCATCATCTATATATGATACTTCATCAAAATTTGATCGGTTCTTTTCGGGTGGATTTCTCCAATCGCATTTCGACGTATATTCAAATTGGCTATTTTGGGTTGTTGGTTTTTTTCCCTCTCTCTCTCTCTCTCTCTCTCTCTCTCTCTCTCTCTCGCTTAAAATGCTGATAATTGAGTTTTAACTTTTGAATTTGGAACTTGCGAATGAAAAATTACGGTTTTTATCTTTGGAATAATTTTGCATATGTTTTGTCTTTGTGTGTGTCGTTGAGATGTGTGGTGTTGTTTTAACGATTTAACTCCGAATAATGTGTCATAAATCTAACACATCACACACATTACTTTGATTTATTATCGTTGCGGATCAACAAGAATATTTGCAAATATTTTTATCTTTTTATTTACGTACCTTATCGGATAATACAATCTTTGAGCTTTCACTGAAACTGATTCGTTCCTTGCAACTGCTGATGTAAACAACAAGTTTAACAGAGTTTAACAGAGAAAAAACGGATTGCGATCAAACACAGTTGCAATGAACGAATCAGTTTCAGTAAAAAAAAAATACAGATCGCGATCACGTGGAAATATTTGTTGCAAACAAAACAAAACCATTCCAATACAAAGCCATATTCCATGGGATTCAGTTATAGTTTAAATATTCTGCCATGTGTTAAATCGAATCGGAATGTTAAATCGGCACGAAAAATTAAATTTCAAACTGAAAATTGGAATTTCATTAGATGTTTCACGGTCGATTTACTAAATTGTGGTTTACTGTTGGCCCAACAGTGTTGGGATTGTGTGTGTTTTTTCTTTCTCATTTGGTGATTTCGTAAACAAACAAATAAATCAATATACTTTTCGCTAAAAAGAACTGATTATCAAGTTCGAATTCTTTTAACATCCCTTTTTTTATCATCAGTGCTCGCGATGTGTTTTTTCACATTGGTGCGCGGAACAATGGCACAGTTGACGTGATCAAACGAATAGATTCTTTTTGTTTTCGTTTTCGTAATAGCACGTTTCGTTTCACGATACACATTTTAACACCTGTGACATTGCGGCAACAGCAAAGATGTTCGCGCTTTAATGTTTTCCAATCCAAGTGAAGTTGAGTGTATGAAAAGAGCAAAAAAAAAAAAAAAATCACGAAATGCAAACAACAACGGGCAGCATTGTTAACGAGCGAAATAGATCAAGTCGAAAACAGAATCTAGAATAACGAATTATAGCCACTTATTTTATCGTCTTTGACGGTGTAAATGAGTCGATACAGTGGAAAGGTGATGGAAATGCGCGTGCGTGAATGTGCATTCGACTATCTGACATCAATTCCTTTTTGAAAAATAATAGCAATTGCACCAAACACAATGTCGGATAATTTACATATGGTATGTTCACAAGATGACAACACAGACAGACAGACAGACAGAGAGAGAGAGAGAGGAGGAGCGAAGGAGAGAAAGAGAGGAAAAGAGAACGACTTGACGAAATATTTCTGCTGGCTTCCAGGCAAAGGATTTGCGTTTCGAAACAGACAGTTTACTGTTTGCCCATCCACACAATCCGTGCCATTGATTCGTTTTATAGATCAACGATTGAATCGATGACAAAAAGAATGGCTTCTTTGTTACTCGAGCGACATATCGTCATTATACAAATACAAGACAAAAAATATCACCCATTGACAACCATTGATAGCGCAAGTAATCGAAACGATAGTGAGCCCCAGCCCCAGAGCTGCGCGTTATCGATTCCAACAACGCGATTTCCAGCAAACGGGCTGGGTCCAACATCATTCAAATTGATAATTAATTGCTCGTAATTTATGGTCATATCAATAAATATCTCTTTTTTTCATTCATTCTGATCTCAATCTCTATTCTCATTCATTGACATGTAAATACACAAAACTGTTTTGTCTCTAACCCTTTTTCATGTATTTCGTTCGAAAAAAAAGAAATATAAAAATTTATTTTATAACCGAAAACGTTACAATGGTTCTTTTTGTTTGTGTTGACATTTTATAGGGACATGATCGAGAATAAATTGTATCCATTGAACGTGCCGGAATCTGTATGTGTGCCTGTATGCCATAATCAACACAATAATTTCGTTATGGAGAGGGAGGAAAACGGCAAAAACATGCAAAATTAAGGCATCGAAAAAAAAAGAGTATAAACAAACAGCACAATAATGTCTGGCCGAATACCAAAACGACGAAAAATTATAATAATAAAACAATATTTGGTCGACTGAATTCAAATCGGTTTGGAATATACATATTTCCCACAGTACGATATGGACATCGTTAACTCCGTACTGACGACTTTTGAAAATGCAAACAAGACGCGAAACAAAACGATACGAACTTAATTTAAACGGACTGATTTGATCTAAATCAACTCATCCCATTTTATTTGAACGATCTAATTATTTGGACGTTGATTCTCCCTGATTCTGATTGGCACACTGTCACACAGTCGTCTCGCGCCGATTGCAAATGAGATGATGCTCAAATGCAAATAAAATCGCCAAATGATTATGACTCTTTTCTTGGAACACATGGTATACGTGTAAACTATACACTCAAAACCATTAAGACAACTGCAACAGTATTGGTCCAAAGCGCGAAAAAAACCAGAAACACATACAATTTATGCACAATTTATATCTTTGTTATGGCTTATAAAAGTTTTGGTCGATATTTATCTTGCGCTGGACGTAAATTATTCGGCGAATTTTCGATAGTCTGAAATGTTTTTGCGGAGACTTTTGTTTTGCACAAGAATTTTCATTTAACTACTGTTAAGAGGAGAAGAAGAAAAAGATGGGAAAATATTCACCATTTTTTCCACTATTCACCTTGAATTCCTATTCGTCCGGAATGCTTGAGCCACTATCGGCGCTAAGCTAAGTTCTATCGAACATGCACTAGCGTTGCAATACAAAAATTTAACTTTGTTGTATGGGAACTTCTTGAAAATGTGTTTAGCAAAACCAACAACAGTAATAGAAGCGGTTATACACAGATAAACCAATCGATTGGCATCATCGTAGTGGATCGAAGTAGGAAAAATATATATCAGATATTCGCACAATCTTGTGCATTTGTCGTGTAAATCAATGGTCATTTTGTGGCTAATTTCATCAGATAATTAATAAGTAAATTATTGCAGCGAAGCGATTATTTGGCGTACAAATGGATTCCAATGAAGCACATCCTCAGAGATACGACCGAACCAAAGGCTTCGAAAACAGCAAATGGCACATGAAAATCGTCGATTGAAACCGTAAACAAAAACATTTTTTCGCGCATTCTGCTCCCTAATGATGTCGATCCTTCAATTCTTACATTCCACCGATACAATACGCATGTACTCTTCGCGTAACGTAATCGTAACGAAACATTTCTACCTCTTTCGGTTTCTCTTTCTCTCTTTTTTTTTCTTTCTTTCTCTCTCCTTCTCCTAAATCTTTTTGATTTCAAGTCGGCTTGAGAAATGCTTGAAACAGTTGATCAAATAGAAATGTTCACTATTACATGTGACCCAATACATCAAATATATACAAAAATCTCTTTTAATTGATGGAAAAAAGGTAAATATCACATGTAATTCCGTCCTTTCAATAAATGTAAACAGCATTGGAATTACACTATTTATTGTTAAATTTAAGCCATGGTCCATGAGCTTATCTCATATCAGCACGGAGATAAGATCGATAGATCACAAAATCTTATGTTTCATTTGAATATAACCCAGAGAAAGACATGTATAGTGATTTAATAGCCTGTAACAAATAACAAGTCAAAAACGGATTTTAATGTTGGAATGTGATTTAAGGAGTAACGAGAGCCAAAGGATAATCTAGAATATGTTTTTATTGGCATGGCTTGTAAACATGTTCAAAGCCTTATTGTTAATAGACTTGTTTAAGCTTGAAATTTATTTTGATAGTTGCCATTCACATTCCATTCGAGTTGAGCAAGTAAGTTAATTGCAAGCAAGATGCCAGCGACAGAACGTTGAAATTCCACACAAGTATACAATGCGTACAATGCAAACGACGGTCAAGTTCGATTCAAAGCTGCATTTAGCTGAAGCAAGCTGAAGATCCACAGTCCAACGCTGAAATTTTTTCACTGTTTTCACTGAAAATTGCTGTATGTTTTATATACCAAACTGCCAGCAGTTGCAGAATCAACATTAGAATAGGTTGTACGCGAGAAATGTGCATACATTTTCGATATTTTCAGCACAAATGATACAGATCGGGATAGATAATGAGATTAAGATAAGCAAACGCTCGAGTGTGAGAAAATCGGTTTTGAACAAGCACAGAAATGCGTGAATGTAGTTGAAACAAAATGAAGCCTTTTTTTTCAGCTCAAGATATACTTGCCGTTGTGATATTTGTGAGTCACAAATTGTGACCAATTTTTGAACTACCTGTAATCATGTTCAATTCATCCTATGCCCAGAAAAATGAAAACCGACACGTTTCTATTTCATTAAATGCAATTTTATTAATACTTTAAAATTTCCGCCTATTAAATGTACATAACTAATTATTCTCTTTCAAATAATATTGGTTTCGCCCTGTGTGCATCCCTCATGTGATCATTTAAGGTGCGCAACGAAATCCAGTCTGTTTTTTTTTCTCGTTCAAAAGCTTTTGTTGCTTATGTTGTTGTTGTAATAAACACTTTGATATATATCATAAAATCAATTTTAAGCTAATCCTGTATATGGTTGATATCTTACCATGAATGGTTGAAATGTTTTAGGATGAACCTCAATAAAGACGAGAAAAGAAAAACAAAAGTGTCGACCCTTCAATTCTAAATTCTTGCATTAAATTCTTTTTTTTTTTTTTTAACAATGTCATGTGAAATTCCTACGAAGAAAGAAAAAACATCAACAAGAAAAAAAAAATTAGGTGTAAAATCAATTAAAAAATAAAATTCTATATAAAATTAAGCTGTGGGAGCAATTTTCAGAAGGCTTGATATGGAGAAATCTACTTGACGAGGTGATGATTTGACGCTCAAATCCATTGGATAATCTTGATTGTCGGCGGTTGGTACGGCAATCGAACTAGACGATGATGATGATGGTGTTGGCGATGCGGACATTCTTAAATTTGATACAGTAGCCGCATGTCGTTGAGCGGCGCCACCATTTGATGCATCATCGGAATCGATGTCATCATTACTCGACATCGACTCGTTTCGCTGTGGTTGCAGATAATTTTGATTGAAATAATATGCTGACAATCGTTCGATGGTGGTTTGCAATAGGGCCGGATGCAGTGGATATTGCATAGCGGCCGAATAAAATGGATTCGATTGAAGTGCTAGTTCATGGTTTGGCGGTAAATTTGTGTACTGTGACATGGGTGACATTAAATCTAAACTATTTGACGATGAGGTCGATGATATGGGTGATGGTTGTTGATTTTGTTGCATTGGAAATTGTTTGGGGTACAATGCGGCCGCTTGTGAAAATAAATTACTTTCAGCCACCGATTTCATATGTTCGCTCATTTTCATGGATGCTTTTTGCTTTTCTTCCAGCAAAAAATTGATTTTAAACCAATTCGATCGACGGCCAAACTTTGAACCGCCCTTTGACATACCGACCTGAATGCACTTTGTCAAACGGCACGCTTTACATGTCGTTCGCGTATTTTTATTGATGACACATTTGTTATTCTTCTTGCATTCAGGTATCGATTGCGATTTGTTACAGGCTCGGCCGAAAAATGACTGCAAAGACAAAAGAAAACGGAATTTTTCGTTAGCATTTCAGAATGGTTTGTGTTCAAAGGTATAAACTTTTTTTTTTATGGTAGATACACGTTTTTCGCCGGGCAGATGCATGCAAAACCAAAATAGAATGAATTTTTTCCCCATTTCTTTTAGATCAAAAAGCAACGGACGGAACAAGAAGAATCGACGAAATAGAACGAATGGGGCAAAGAATAAATTTTGCATGTAAATGATGGCGCGCTAAATGCAATGCAATTCGATTTGATTACAATGCACAAGTGAAGCGTAGAATCACGGAAACAGCGAGCGAGCGAAAGAGGGGGAGAGAAGAAAAACGGTGCTGTATTCGTTTTCTTTGTCGTTTCATTATTACTCAATTTAATTTCAGTTGGGAGTAATTCATAACGATCTTTACCATCGCCGTCGACGCCGTCGTCTTCGTCTCTTTTTTCGCTGTCTCCATCTCTTCAATTCAATTCATTTGGAGCTAAACTGTTATTTTGTTGTATGAGTTTTTTTTTACATCAACCACTGAATCTGTGTGCGCTCTACAGTTACGACACACATAAACGATATTGCACTTCGAAAATAAAACAAAGCGAAGCGTATGAGAGCGCAAAAAAAAGACATAGCGAGAAACGTTGGAAATTGGTAAAATTTTCGATTTCAAATTGACGCAATATGAAAAGAAAAAAAAACACACGACCTGAAAGGCTAGCAACCAAATGTACAAATGAAAACGAAATGTAGTCAGAGGTTCTCTCTTCTTTTGCTCTGCTTTGGTATTCTTTGGCTGGTATTGTTGTTGTTCATTTTTGCACGCCTGCTCCAAATGTTGAAATAAAGATGAAAATGAAGAGAGCGAAAAAAAACAGCTCAACGTACACACACAAAACGGTTTAAAAACGTAACGAAAACGAGTAGGAAAAAAAAATTCAATTTCAAGATCACTTTTATTTGTACATTGTTTTGATTGTGATCACTTTGAGCTAAATTAAAAGTCAGATACGTTCGCGTTGAAGTGGATAAAAAGAACAAGGCAGCGCAACGCCGTTTGAAATATGGTTTGTTTCGGTTCGTTTGTTTACCCTTCTCGCTCTAGTTGCGCGCACAATCTTGGCTCTCGGTGTGTGTGTGTGTGCTCGTTCGGCAAACTGACTGACTGAGCCAGCGAGCAAGATTGTATGTGTTTTTTTGATTGCGTGGGCACTATAACAGTGAGAAAGCAGTGCACATCGTCGTGACTTTTAACTGACAAACAACCATAAAAAAGCAACAACAACAACAACAAGAGCAACATACGCACTTAGACGTGCCAGCTATTAAAGAGTTCATATGCGCATGACTCATGGGAATTAATTCGGCGTCGAACAACGCGCTCGCGCCAGCGCGCATTGCACCAAGCCGGAAAAAAAGCAAGCACATAAGTAAAAACATTTTGTGTGTACGAAGTGAATGTGGTATAACAAAAGACTGCCAGCGTGCGACGATGAATTATCGTAGACGACGAACCTTTTTTGATTTTAAGCACTGTTTTATGCACACACACACACACATACACCACAACAACAACCTCTTCGATAAATGTTTTTTTTCCTCTCACTGCATCATTTTTTCTCCTTTTAAATTTTTAAATTGTTTTTATCTCTTCGGATTCATCCTGGTGCCAACACACAACATACATGCCCAAAACAAAAAGTTCATGTCTACGTGTTTCACCCAATTAATATATATTTGCCGGATACAAGTCATTAAAATAAACAAAAGAAACACATTTCATGACGACACCTTACCTTACATCCTTCACAAGTAAATGCACCAAAATGATACCCGGCCGCTGGATCACCGCACACTTTACACAATGGATTCATAATTTTATTTTATTCTGTAAGAAAATAAGCAAATGACTACGTTAATTTTTTTCGTGATTTATACAGAGAGAAACAGAAGAAAAAAAATGAATAAAAAATTAAGTTGAACAACAACAGAGAATAAAATCAGCGATATGAACGAAGAGAGAGGGAGAGAGAGAAAAAGAGATCAGAGCAAATTGATGGCTGCTCTAAATACAAAATCGTGAATAAACAATCGTTAATCGCCGTCGAATAACACAGTTAGAGTGTTAGCAAATACGCTGTACAGAACACAAATAAGCAACTTCAGCAAAAATCTAAATCGATTAAGTTCAAGGACATGAACACAATTGTTCAGCTGTTAATGAATAGGAATTCGTTGTTAGTTGTTTGCCATTTTTGCCTGTAGCAAATGATGCTATGCATTTTGTCTGTCTGTCTCATTCTGTATTTCTTCCTTTTTCTCTCTCGTCTCTCTCTTGCTCTTTCTCTCTCTCTCTCTCTCTCTCTCTCTCTCTCTCTCTCTCTCATTCTATCTTCCTTCCTTGCTCCCCTTTACTCTCTACCTATCTCGCTCGCTCACTCGACACAATTGATTCCAACCAGCCAAGTCATTTGAATACGCGGAGATTTCTTTGCAGACAAAACGTATTACAAATAAATAATTATATGGTGGAATGTGTCATTCGTGTGTTATAAATGTGGTGATTCCAAGGAATAAAGTTCGCAAGATCAAGATTGAACACACATTTGCATATATCGGATTGGGTGATGCGGGTGCAAATGAGAAGGAACGACGCAAAATGGAATAGTTGGTAGAATTAGGGCAAAAAGGATTTCGGATGAGATTTCTGGATTTTCGATTGAATATCGACAGTAAATATGTCACAAAAAAGCCAAAAGGAATTCAACAAAGCAAGAACGAAGACAAACGAATGAATACCACAAAAGCTGTTTACGAAGTGGAAAAAAAATATGGGTTCTTAACCATCTGCGGCATTTCATTCTGGAATGTCGATTTATGTGTTGAGAGAGGAGAAAAACACACAATAAAATACCCAAGGAGCGCAGAGTAAACAAAATGCGCGCAATCAAAATCGAAGCGTTCTTCACTTGTCACGTATTCCAAAAATATGTCACACGACCGATAAAATATTTGGCAAGCGCGCGCGCATGCGCGCGGCTCACTTTGTGCCTGTCTCTCTATCGCTTGATTCTTTTTGTGTGTATCTTCATTTGAAATGTGGTCAAAGTGTCCCTGCACTTCCATATGGTAAATCACCCGATTGTTGAAACGATCTTTCTGCGCAAATTTGTAACACATTGACTGTCGCAAAGTTCCCATGTGGCTCTAGTTTCTTTTTTTTTTGCTCAAACACCGCCTGTTTTTCTTTTCTCTTCTCGCCGACCGATTGAAAGAGTCGTTTGATCACGGTTCGATTTGTTGTGTTTGTTTTCCTGTTTAGTTTTTCTTTCTTTCGTCTGTTTGTTTGTTTGTTTGCGAGTGTTTGTGTGTGTATGATTTGTAAATACCACTTTAGTACCATTTCATATCAATTTCCATAAATATGCAATAAACATGAAAATTTATGCCGTGTCAATGTGGCGACGTTAATAAAATTCATCGGGTTCATATTTGTGCGAACAAAAAAAAAATGTTTAACTCACATAACATTTTTCGTTCATTTATTTAAATTATGAAAATAATAAATTTTCAAGATTCACGCTTCATTATTCATCAACGTTTTGAATTTATGGCGTTTGCTCTGTGGCTCGGTGTGTTTGTGCGCGCACTTTGTGTTTTTTTTTTCAATTCTGTTCAAGGAAATAGCCACGTTTATTTATGCGTGGCACAAGGGCCACGAACGTATCACCGAACACATAATTTTTTTTCCCTTTCGTTTTACTTTAGATTTGTTGTAACAAACGAGTTAAGGTTGAAGGCGAAAAAAAACAACCTGGCAAATACTAAGAGAGAGAATATGCCCATTACCAATAATGTGTAAAATTTAGTAATATTTGTTATCAATGCGAAAATAGACAATCACATACACATCAAATCGGCGCTGTTCCAAATTTCTACACAACTCTCGTTTACACTGTTCCATTACACTGTTCCATTAGATCGATTCACAAATAGCTCATGGACATAATAAAAAGCACATGTCGATTGAGTCAGCATTTATCGCAATCGAATGCAATATGAGTGCAAAAAGTGCAATATTCACGTGCAACAGCGAACAAGCAATTTAAGAAGTTCAGTAGTAATTTGTTTCGGAGTTTGTTGAATGAATGTCATTAAATTGCCCTTTTTTTCGCCCAGTTCATCTTAATCAGGTGATCATCATAGCCGATAAGCAATTATAATTGGCACAAAAAGAGAATATGGAGCGCAGGTTGATTTTGAACATCCAGATACAGCAAATTAGAACCACATCATATTTCTTCTCTGTGTTTCCATATTTTTTTCTGTTCGACCATATGCTTTTGTCCTTGTTTCGTCCGAAATCGTAGCGAGAGTGCTCTTCGAGAGCAAAAATAGACAAAAAAAAACCGAACAAACGAAACGAAACAAATTTTTTTTTTAGCCAGTCATGATGTTCGCAGCAGCTCTCGAATAAATCAAAATTAATGAGATTTTTGGAGTGAACCAAATGCTAACGACGATTTAAATCGTGTTAAGTTCTCGTCGTGTCTATGGTCGTGCGCGCAAATATTCTTCTGCCACACATTTGCATTGTGTTTTTCTTCATTCCTCAGTCGCACACGAGCGCGATTCTGCCAAATCCTTTTGTTTATGTCGTGTATTGCATATTGTTCGAATGATCCAACGTTCTACATTTTGCGTCATGCATATGTCAATTTGTATTATTTATGATTATTCGCTTTTGAATTGCGTCCGGACATGGATTTTTTTTTTTTTGCTCGATCTGCCCTCTTGCTGTCTCACCTGCACATTTCAATCAAAATAAAATGCACACATTCTTCTCTTAATTCGATCCTTAATTGACTTGAGATTGACTTAGTTTTTTTTTCGCTCCCTTCAAGTCTTTCATCTTTGTGTGGTCACGGCAATGAAAAAAAGAAGAGAAAAAAAACAAGACCGTCTGCATCGGAATTTGGCATCAATGTTTGTTGTTCGCTCTTCGTGTAGCATTCTTTGATCATGACGAAATTCTCATCATTTACATGTTTGCGGTAATCATTTGGACATTTTTCCCAATCTATGCCAGCAATCGCTTGATTTCGGTGTGATGCACATAAAGAAAACGACGGAAATGAATGGTTGTGTGCATTGGATCTCTTATCAAACGACAAAAAACAATCTATTTAGTAGTGAAAAATGGCGATTTTTTTTTGATTTTATGGAATCAAACACATCGAGACCATTGATATGCGTGTGTGTGTGTGTGTGTATGTATGCTGGATCTGAAGGATTATTGCGGTAGTTGGCATGAGTTTCTGGTATGAAAATCTTGATTTAAAATGCATATAAGCGCTTGCTCCCGTGAATTCACCCATGAATTTCTGCTCTATTCAACGGCTGATACTGATGGTTCTGCTGCGGTTGTTGTTGTGTATCCGGCGTAAAATAGTTTCATCTTTGAATTCGTAACGACTTTAAATGTGATTTTTTTTTGTTTCGTTGACTTTTATTGTTGTTGCTTTTTTATCATGAATTGTAGCCGCTTGATACACTTGAGACTCTTCTCATTTTTGTTTCTGTTGTTGTCGCGATACAATTTATATATTTTTTTTTTGTGCTTTTGCTTCATCTTCGGTTGCTGCTGCGTTATTATTGCTTCGTCTCCGGTGCGCATCATAAACTTACAGTTTGGCCTCTATGAAAATTCGTATTAACCTTGACTGTTATTGAATGCGATGACAATGCGAGATTATGGTCAAAGTTTGATGGCAGATTGAAATAAAGCGAGCAAAGAATTGGAACCGAAAAAAAGTGAAGAAGAAGAAGAAGCGAGGAGAGCAATGAGAAACACACAACAACAGCAACGATGACGACGACGACGAAGACGACAAAAAATGACAAGATAAAATTGCTTGACCGAAAATTAAAATGTGATCTGGTTATTAAGCCAAGAGTCATATACAATAGCCGCATATATTCATTGCGATGTGGTCCATCATGACTAAACTACATTCGATTTGTGTGTTTCCGTTTCACACACACACACAAACACACAAATCTACATTCCGAACTTTTCAATAATTGGTTAATCATATTGCGATTAATCGCCGACCCAGCAGCAAATGGTCAATTTCGTATCTACTGCTTCCTCTTCGTCTATTTCTTTATTTGGTTGATGGTACTTGAAATGAACTCGGTTTTTTTTTTTCATTAGTTCATTTTGAATTTGGACGAGTCGAAAATAGTGTTTCATTATTGAAACCTAAATAAGTAGATGTTCGATACGCGTCTGGAGGTCACAACCTAGAGGTTGACGAAATTACACACATACACCGCGCTTTTAAGGTTGTCTAACGACGAGACAACGAACAAAAACGAAAACATCGCATATAAACGAGAAAAAAAATGGTCCACAAGAAAAATATGTTGAGCAAACAGACAAACGCAGTGATCGCGAAAGAAACGAAGAAGAAGGAAAAAAAAATAGCGGCGAGCTCTAGTTCATCTATTACGCGAATGGAAAATGATGCAATTCCAACGATACGCTCTACAGAGCATACTCTGCTTACCATATTGTGATCGCAATGACTTTCTTTCATTACCAAATCGGCCCTTTTTTGGCGGTGTTTCAATTCGCTTCTCAAAATATAACCCAATTCTAACGGAATATCCACTGAAGTTATATGGCATTCAATTGTTCGATTGCATCAATTGATTTGTTTTTCTTTTTATAAGCGAAAAAAAACGACAACAATGATGACACGGTCGAACGAGAAAAAAAAGTGAGACCATTTGAATTGTCATTCCACGTTCGGCTATTGTTTTTCGTGCTCCTATTTACTGCCTTTGAGCTGAATGTAATGTCAAGAAAAACCACGGCTTGGT